CTTTGGTTTTTTTTGGTACTGGGGATTGAACTCAGGACCTTGCGCTTTCGAGGCAGGCGCCAGAACCACTGAGCTAAATCCCCAGCCCAAGGGTCTCCCTTTGTAGTTCAGGCTGGGCCTGAACTTACTGTGTAGCCCAGGCTGGCCTCGAACTCGAGGTGATCCTCCTGCCTCAGCCTCCCGAGTGCTGGGATTATAGGAGTACGCCACCACGCCTGGCAACTAGCTGGTTACATTTTTAAATCCTTATTTATGCCACTGGAAAAGTTGCCCTTGCTTTTAGATAGTAGAGGGAGGCATACCGTAGCAGCAGGGCTGTATGTGAAGTGTGTGGGCAGTTATATGCCAGTTTTGTTACCTTGTGGAGCTGACAAGTTTTATGCATGTTTCTTCAGCTTTCTTGATTTTGGTGCAGCTGTGGTGGACAGTGCCATGCACACCATCAGCTTCCTCCCTCCGGCACAGGCATGCCTCTGCTTTTCTGCTTCAGGATTCTGAAATTTTGGAACACATCTCAGTTAGCACGAAGTGTAAGCTGCAAGGACGAAGGAGCTAATGTCCACTCTAGGCAGCACTTAGCCGTGGGGATGGGAGTCAGTGGCTAAATGCTCTCTTTTTTTTGTGTTGCTGGGGATAAAACCCAGGGCCTTGCACATGCTAGGCAAGTGCTTTACCACTGAGCCAGACTCAGCCCAGTACCCTCCTTTTGAAAGGGAGGGACAAATCTAACAGGCATTTTGTTTGGTTCCTCAGAGGGTCCTCAGTGGGATTGAACCCTGGTTGGCCTCCTGCTTTTAAAAAAAATTTCCTTTTTCACTCTTTATGTCTCTCACTCTGCTTTCTGTAATCCCATTTCATAGAAACTAAATATACCCAGATTTGTGTGTCAAATCTGCTTTTAGGGAATCCCAAACTAAGATCACATACTATTTCCTGAAAGGTGGGTAAAGCAGGAAACTGAGATTTCCAAAGAATCTCAGGAAATGGACAGTCGTCCCAAGTTGGATCTAGGCTTCAAGGAAGGACAGACCATCAAGTTGAGTATTGGGGTAAGTATAGTTTTTTAAAATTTTATTTTCTCATTCTTTGCCCTTTTGTCTTTTGGTCTAGTGCTGGGGCTATAACCCAGGGCCCCATACATGCTAGGCAAGCATCTGCCACTGAGCTGCATTCCCCTGTCCTTTTTTATTGTTTTCTGTGACATCTTTCTTTTTCTTTCAACCTCCCTCTGTTTTTTCTTTCATAGAACATTACAACCAAGAAAGGTGGTGCTTCTAAGCCCAGGACTGCAGGAGCTGGGGGCCTAAGTTTACTTCCCCCACCTCCAGGAGGCAAAGTCACTGTCCCCCCGCCATCCTCAGTTGCTATCAGCAATCATGTCACTCCGCCACCCATTCCCAAGTCTAACCACGGAGGCAGCGATGCAGGTACATCTAGCACTTCTGACTTTGAAAACTCACATTCCATGTTTAATTGGGTAACACCTGTTTGCCAGGAGAGTACTGATGTTCTTACTAGGAGATGGTTCTGGGTGCTGACAAGGTGATTCTGGCAAGGGATCAGAGCTTTTCTGGTGAATGGAGTCATGGTTCCTAGCAGGTTCTTTGGCAAATAATATGTTGTTATTTAAAAGGTCATTCCCTTCATTGTTTTTGTTTTTTTGGTACCAGGGATTGAACTCAGGTCCTTGTCCTTGCTTGGCAGGCAGTGGAACCACTGAGCTAAATCCCCGGCCCTCCTTTCATTGTTTATTAGTTAGATGCTAATAGGCATGTGAATCAGATGGATGAAGATTGTGGCCATGGCTGTAGGTATTATATCTGAATACACTTGGTAAATATTATTTATGTTCTTTGTCTCTCAATTTTCTTATCTGCAGAATGGTTGTATAAAATCAAATGATGTGAGAGTACCTAGTGTAGCTCTTGGAATACTGTAGTCAGTAGAGGTCCATCCAGGTTGGTCCTCCCACCCCCTGGCCTGCCTCCTACCTTCCCTCTTTTTCTTCCTTTAATTCTTTCCCTTTCTTTCTCCCTCTTATTCTATCATTCTCTTTATCTCCTTTCATTTATTCTTTCTCTCTCTGAGGATTGAACCCTGGGGCTCACACATGCTAGGTTAATGCTCTACCACTGAGCTATACCCTTGGCCCTAATATTATTTCTTGATCCTTTCCATTTCTTCACAACAGTAGTTGGGAGAAAAGGAGAAGACACCTGTGTTCTTCCTTACTATGTGGTGGAAAAAAGAACAAATATAGTTACATCTTCTTATTTGAAAAATGAGTGTCTTAGATTTCAAAGGAATTTTCCTAAGATTAGAGAACCAGATTTTAGAAACTGGGAGTTTTAACTTAATGTATTGGACAATGCAGGCCATTTTTTGAATTGATTACTAAAGGTAAGCTTTCTCTTTGTAGAATTTTTGAGATGAAAATATAGCCTGCCTCTATCGGTAAGTGTCACCAGAAGGTACTAGGGATAGTGTATAAGATTTATTTTTAAAATTAAGCTTTTTGAGATCATTGTAGATTCACATGCAATTGTAAGAAATGTTGCAGAGAAATTCTGTGTGCCCTCTGTTCTATTCCCTTCGTAGTAACATTTTACAGAACTGTTGTCAGACGTCACAGAAAATTGACATTCAAACCACCTTGTAGTCTTACTCCAATTTCATCCATTTCACATGTTGTCACCTGTGTGCATGTATTTCTTTAGTTTTATGCAGCTTTACCATCATTACATTTATGGATCGACCATCATAGTTAGGCTGGAATATTTCCTTTTCTACAAAGCTCTTTTGTGTTGTCCTTTTTTTTGGTACCAGGGATCGAACTCAAGTCCTTGCTCTTGCTCAGCAGGCAGCAAAACCACTGAGCTAAATCCCCAGCCCTGTGTTGTCCTTTTATAGCCACACCTGTTCCCTCCCAGGCTTTCTTCCCCCATCCCTCACCCTTTAGGACCACTGATTTGTTCTCTGTGTGGATAACTTTGTCACTTCAGGCAAGTTCTGTAAATGGGATCATACAGTGTGTAACCTTTTGGGATTGCTCTTTTTTCACATAGTGATATTCTCTTGAGATTTATCCAAGTTGTTGAGTATATCATTAGTTTGTTTCTTTTTATTCTGAGTACTCTTCTATGATATGGATTACCACAGTGTAGCTAACTATCACCCTTGGAAGGATATCTGGATTTCCAGTGTGTGGTTCTTACAAATAAAGCTGCTGTGATATTTGTATACAGGCTTTTGTATGAATATGTTTTCATTTCCAAGGTTCTTATTACAGTTTGTTTTCTTTTTTTTCCTCTTACCTTGTGTTTAGATATCCTTTTAGATTTGGATTCTCCTGCTTCTGTCACGACACCAGCACCAGCTCCAGTTTCTGCAAGCAATGACTTGTGGGGAGACTTCAGTACTGCGTCCAGGTAGTGGGCAGAAGGAAAGCAGTATACTGTCACTCAGGGTATAGAAGATATGTGCAGCTGTATTAAACTTTGATCTGGGACAAGGGGATTTGAAAGTCATAATATAGTTGTTTGAAATTCTTGGGAAGAAAATGTAGGAATGCTGGGGATGCTGGGAGAAGAAAGCTGTAGGTTGAGGGTTGAGTGGTATATTCTGGGTCTTGATAAGTAGAATTTTTGATATGTGGACTTAGAAACTCTGGACTGCAATTTCTTGAAAACTATTTGGTAAGGAATGGAGTAGTTATCCTAATATTATATCTTTGGATTTCTTTCTGTTCTCCTGTCTTGCAGCTCTGTTCCAAACCAGGCACCACAGCCATCCAACTGGGTCCAGTTTTGAGTAGCATTGGCAGGACATTAAGGACAGACTTGAAGAATAAAACTAACCTTGAGGGCACCAATCTTCGAGGGAGGTTAGGAACCCTTTTCCCTCCCCAGAACCAAAATTGATGGACAATCTTTTTCATAGCTTCTCCATTGTATTCAGGCTGATTTATGTCACTCCCCTATGTTGTTACTTGCTGTACAGCCAAGAGGGATCTGTTATTTAATGCTCATTACCACAGCAAGAGAATAGTGGATCTTACCATACCTATGGCTGACTGCAGAGTTCAGTAGGCCAGTGACTTTTTGAGAGGGGAATGACTTCTAACATTTGTAAAGATTTTCTCCATCTTCTAAATTCTTGAACTTATTTCAGAATCATCTCATAATCCTTGTGTGCCTCTTTGTGAAGCCCTCTTTACCAATTTCAGGGGAAAGAAAAGCCTTGAAACTTTTTTTTTTTTGGTACCGGGGATCAAACTCGGGACCTTGTGCTTGAGAGGCAGGCAGTGGCACCACTGAGCTACATCCTGGCCTTTTTTTTTTTTTAACCCAAAACTCTAAAAATGGATGGGCTGACCTCAGTATTTACAAATTTCAGAATTTTGAAGCTTGGGCTTCATAGTGACCTCAAGGCCAGCCTGAACTACAGAGCAAGATCCTGTCTCAAAAAAAAAAAAAAAAAAAGAGACTATGGATAGAGGTGGATTTGGAGAAAGCTGTGTGTCCTGGGTCTCTTCTTTCCAGCCTCCAGGGTTCCCCTGTTCAGTGAACAGTGAACTGCAGCTCCGTCACCCTCTTGGGTGTTTACATGTCTCTTCCTGAGATGAGAGGGTTGTGTCAGCAGCACTGCCACTATTCTTTGCTGTTTGTTGAATAGTGCAGCATCTTTGAGCAGTAGTTGTTTTTAGGGTGGAGGAGGCTCAAGGGGCTGTGCTTTCCAAATTATAGAAGTGTTGAATTTCTTGCAGCTCCACCTGGTTACTGCATTGGAAGCACAGCATTCATTTGTAGTCACCCTTTTATTTAACTTAAAATTGAAGAGTTTAGAGTTTTTAACCTGATCAGTAGAGCAGAGAGGTTAAAAGTACCTAACTCTCATTCATTACCCACCTTGCCTTGATGCCTGGGTATCTGATCCCTTTCCATAAACATTTTTTTTCCTATCCACCTGACTCTTCAGTAAAAAGCTGCTATTATATATATTGTCAGTTATGAAGGAAGCTGGGGAGTCACAGTTTTATTTCTGTCAAGTTTTCCCCCAGGCCTTGATATCCACTAGCAAGAGTATCTATCTTAAAAGTAAGTTGCTTCCCTACCATTTCCTTTTCCTCTACCCCACCATTCCTTTTACAGTGCTGTGAAAAGAGTTTCTTGCCATAGTGGTTATTATTAACTTACCTATTTTATTTGTTAATGGACAATTTTGAGGATTAAGTGGGAGAATATAATTTCTTCCTTTAGCACCTATTTCAATATGCACATTCTGATTGAACGGGGCAGGTCCTTATATTTAATTTCAAAATATATTGTTTCTCCCAGATTTCCTTCTTAACTTTTTCTAACTTTGGGTCCATTGTTTTCATTGCCTCCCTTTTCAGGCAGCTCTATTCTTGCAGAGCCATGGCAGAACATTTTAAAATGTCACTAGAAAACACTAAAGGAAAATCTGTAGAATCACTAGTGACACTTGGAACCTATTTTTCTCAATCTTCCTCCATGTTGTGTTTGTATTCTCAAGATGATAATATATTATGTATTTGAATTGCTGAAAAACTGAAAATGAAGTTAAGATATATGTATATAAAGCAGATGCTGTAGTGGTGCAATAATGGTAATTAAAATAGAAAAAAAGGTGCTGTTTGTTTTATCTTTTGTCTAATTATTTTCTAAATTTAATTGGCCCAATAAAATGGGCAATAAAAGGGTATTAAGACATATATATTTATTATGCTTTTTTTTGGTACCAGGGATCAAACTTGGGGCCTTGTACTTATGAGGCAGGTGGTGGAACCACTGAGTTAAATCCCCGGCTCTATTACTCACTTTTGAGAAATAAGGACTTTTTTTTTTTT